TGGGAGGGTGGGGCTGAGAAGGGCTAGGGCTGTGGCAGCTGGAGGTTTCCTTTCTGCTACCACCCTGGCCAGCCATCTTCTCCCGTGGCCTTCCATTGGTCTGCAGAAAGGCTGTCAGGCCTTTCACTGTAAGTGCTCACTGGGACCAGTGCCTGGGCCTGGAAACAAGCAAGCCTCTAGGGCACGGGACTGACCAGGTTCCATTTGGATGACATCTCTTGTGTACCCTACCAGATCTGCTATTCAGTGCTTCCCATGCCTGGGGCCATGTCATGGTGGGTGAGTGGGACACTGAGCTGGGCTGGGCTTTCTATCCATCTGGCAGGGTCTTGCCCTGGAGAAATCTGCCTGCTCCAGCCTTCTCCTATGAGCAGGCCAACCAGGACCCTTAAACCCTGGTCTGTGATAAGTTGTTTGGCTGAGGTTCCAGGTCCACAGGAGCTCTACCCAGGGTGATGCGGTACTCTGAGTTGGAGTTCCAGGCCAGACTCAGCTAGGACAGGGAGGCCACCTCCTGTGGGCATAGCTGGCTGCATTTCTGCTCTGCTGGCCGAGGGAAGAAATAGGATATGGGAAGGGAATCCTCAAGGAGGGCGATTAGCTGGCATAGCTGTTGTGGGGTATTTATAGTCAGGGCTGCACAATTGGTTTCCCTGTAGCTGTGGGGCGTCAGTCCCTGTGCTGCTAGGCAGACTTCAACCAGGAACAAGGAAAGCAGCCAATCACAGCAGGGGAAACCCGTTGCTGGACAAGCTGGGGGCAGGGTGGCTCAGCCCAAACACCAGCTGTTTGGAAAAGTTTGGAGCACTCCAGGCTCCCCCACCATCCCGCCCCCTGTCCACCCCCAGCCAAAGGAGTGCACAGGGCAGCAAGAGGGGGCACATGTGCCCTTTTGGATCAACCCCATGTTCAGCCACATTTGTGCACACTCCACCAGCACAAGCCTTCAGCTGCTTCCTTCTCAGATGAACATGCCATCCAGTTTCCAGGGCTGAGCGGCCTGCTGGTTACCAGGGCCGGTGTCCTGAGCACTAGCAAGACAAGTATGTACCCACAATCTCGCCATCAGAAAACGCAGACAGAAGCTATAATTTTAATTTCTGCATGTATATAAGTGTGCCATTTGAAAAAGAAATAAAATTTTACTTTAAATTACATATATTGGTAGAGTGGTGGAACCGTCATCTTTTCCAAGTTCAAGGCCTCTGTGGAGCCTCTCTCCACCCCTGCATTTACCTGAAACTCTCAGTTTTTGCAAAAACTATTTTAATCATCCCCTTTGATGGCTGATGCATTATACTAAGACCCACTTCATGCCTTTTAGAAGAGTCTTGTAATAGTTACTGGGTCCCTTTGTGTTTTGTTGTATTTTTCCATTAAACTTCCTCCAAACCAGGAACCCTGCGGATGGTGAAAAGAGGATGCATTCAGTATATTTCAATCCTCTGCTGATGGAACAGCATGCCCGAGAAGACATAGATGGATTTCAGACAACTCAGGCAAGGTAAGGGCCAGCAACAAATGAGGATGGTACATCTCTTCCCTGTCACTGCAGCCCAGTTGCCCGCTTACTCACTCACACAACTGGCCTGGCCGGGAACATATGCCTGCATGGGCTGCTCTGCGTTTCTGTGACTGACATGTCTCTGGAGATATGATTCTTATCTTAATTTTGATGAGCCTGAAGCATAGTTTCACTAATTTTGGTGTCTGCTTCAGGAGAGCTAGAGCATGTGCATAGCAAGGTTAAGGAAGCTATCTCACCCATGCACATCCGTCAGTTGGGACTCAGAGGGGTGGTCCCTGGGACAGCGTATCTTGAGGATAACTCATCCCCAGGCACAGGGTAGAGAACACGAGCAAGCTCTTCGCTTCCAGGATGTTGAGACGCAACTTCAGTGAATGGCATTATGATTACAATAATTTTAATGTAGCCCTATGAGGGCAGGGGTTCTTGACTGTATTGGCCACTGTTTCATCCCTAACAATTAGAACCTTGCCTGGCACAAGGTAAGCACTGTAGACCTTTACTTAGGTAATGGATGAATGAATTTCCTTTTAGAACTCCATCCTTCCCTTTTGTTACGATTAGAAGAATGGCAGAGCATAGCTGTTCAGTCTTGCTCAATTGTGGTCCTGTTTCCCTATTTGTGGAGGGTCATGGAAGGTGGTTCCTTCACACTGGCATCTGATGAATCAGCCATCTGATCTGGAGTCTGACTGAGCCCCCCATTGGGGCTCTATGAGTGCCCCAATTCCTTATTAGAATTCTCACATGCCCACAGTGCAGTTACGCTGATGTTTATTCCTGGAGGCTGGTCTAATGGATCCCTGAAGGGCACAGAATAAGGCCCAGTATAGCTGCTCCTTGCATAGAATTCTCAGATCTTGAGCCTGCAGGGGACAGGCACCTGGCACCATAGAAGAGGTTTTGGAAGGTGACGTCTCTCAGATTTTATTGTATTCTGGGTTCCAGGCCAGTAGGGTGCCACTAGCATCTCCCAGGCCTCAAGTAATACTGGCCCAAGGCAAGCTGTTGTCCTCTCTATTCAGAAAAATCTTCAAAAGACGGATGACCTGCATGACAGTACAGCCCCACTTCTGTGGGAACACACCCAAACCTCACTACCCCAAATGATGCAAGTCTTCCCTGAAGCTCACCGAGAGAACAAGTGAGTGCTCAAGCTTATGGCACTGCCCTTTCTTCAGCCTCCAGGAAATCAGGGTACCTGATGCCAGGGAAAACTTTCCATGCGCACAGTGGCCCCGGAGGCCTGGCTGAGCCACGAGCAGCCACTCTCAGAGTGGTTAGATGTCTAGAGCCAGTATTCAACAAGTGAAACCCAATGCTTCCAGTCATTTCTCAATGTGATGAATTCCAGAGATTAGAAAATAAAATGAAAAGAGAGAATTTACCATACAGGTCATTTCCTTCTAATTTCTGCCATTTCTGGATTCCGTTTCCAACGGCTTGGAGTCCTGTGAAATAACAAGGGCCGGCGTGAGGCTCTCTGCGGTGGAGAGACCCAGGCCCAGCGAGTGATGTGCCAGTTGCAAACGTATCTGGATTAACGTGAGTGGCGTAACTTGGTTCTCCAGGGAGCTGAGGGAGGCTGCCCATGAATGAGATGCCCTTGGGAGCATGAGTGCAACCCTTGCCGTTGAAAAACATTTAAAAAACCCCATTAAAACAGTAGTTTTCAAGAAGGGTGGGGTTGGCTATCAGGATCATCCACGGAGAATTTTCACAATACAGATACTCATTTTTCACTACCACATCTCCACCGCATAAATATGGAAGCATTATTGCAGAAAACGTTTGCCATTCATCTTGCCTGCCTATTTCTGGGTGTGCCACTTGATGGGTGTAGGGTGGGGGTGGGCAAAGACTGCCTATCCTTGTGTTAATTGAAAGTGATAGCTGCCTGCTCTCTTAGCCTCCCTTGCAGCTACGGCGTGGACATGTGTGGGCCGGGCATGGCTAGTCAGTGGCACCTGTGTCCACTTCCATCTTAGGAGCTGGTGAGGCAACAGGAAAAAGAAGGGACGTGCTCTCTCTCTCTTTCTTTCTGGTGCTGGCTGGAAGTGGTGGCTGCGAGGTCGAGATCCTGGCAGAGAACTGGTGTACGTTCTGACAGTTGGAGCAACTGCAATAGAATCAAGTTCCTGGTGTGAAAGGAGCACCTAGTGCTCCTTGGCGGCAGTGGAGGTTTCCTCACCAAACCGGCTTGCTGAGCAGCTTATGGTGCTGTTCGTGACAGCTCAGCCTTGATCCTGCTTCTCCAGCCCTTTCAACCACTCCAGGGCCCCCAGTCCCTTTTTCTGCAGAGCCCTCTACAGTCTGGGACTTACCACATGGAGTCCTCAATGACTCACTTGTAGAGTGGAATGAGCATATCACATTGACTTTGGGGATAAACCCAAGACTTCAAAACTCTTTCAGACTTGGTGCAGGAAGTTTTATGCAGCCTCTTCCTCGGCCAAGGGAATACCTGAGACGTGCTGAGAGAGTCCAGGAATATTTTTGAGAAGCACTGTTCCAAGGGAATGAATGGGAAAATACTAGGGCCCTGGAGAAAGGGGAGAGAGCACCTGTTGGCCTTGCAGCCCAAATCCCCTGGTGCACACGCTCCTTGCCTCCTGTCCCTCTGACTCTTTTCTGCCACAAGGACACAGCAGAAAGCCACCTGGTCACATCTTCACTCGGTCCTCTGCATGGTGACAGTTACTGAGCTCAGGCTCTCCTTTGCAGAGCTGAGGACCTGGAGTGGGAAGGAGATAGGAGGAGACGCCTAGCAGTGGGCACGTTTTGGATCTTGTGCACCAACAAGAGGCCTTGGAACAAGCTTGTCTTGCTCAGCATTTCCCCTCCTTGGGCTGTGTGGGCCTGTAAGCTGGCTCTTAGCAGGTCTCAGAGGCTGCGCACTCTCCCTTTTCTCTTTCTTGAGAAAATATTTGGAGAAAAATATCAGCAGAAAAGCCTTAGCAAGCAGCGTCTTCTTTACCTAAGTCATGGTCATGCGTGTGGAGTACGTTGGTCTGGAGTCATATAGGGTCTGTGGCAGGTGTTGGACACCTCCCAGAGCAGTGCTGATCCCTGACATTTCAGGGCTTCTTCGTGTTCTTCGCCTTCTTTAGTGACAGAGCCTTTAGAAGAGATGTGATCAGAGCAGCAGAGGGAGGTGCGACTTATGGGCTGACCCAGAGCTGTGCCTCTGGGGGGCCTTCTGGCCATGCCATACACTGGGGAAGGCCTTCTGGATTGCAGTGTGTGAAGTAGTGCTGTCTCATTTCTATCCAGGAGCTAATGGCCTCTGCCCATTTCCTATTACAAATACCCTGGAGCGGGCATTTCCCCTTCTTCCAGGAACAGCTCTGAGAACTAGGAAACTAACCAACCCAAACAACTGCTGGTCCCCAAATTCCTCCCGAGACTGAAGTACCTGTCAACATTCTCAGCTCTTCAGAATCTATTTCTTTCCCCTGCCTGCTTCCCCAAGGGGTCACCAGGAATTGTAGGGCAGCTCCAGCCTGTTTGGCTGGTGGAGGCAAGGCTGTCCATGGCACCATGGCTTCAGCGAGGCAGGTGGAAAGTGAATGTTCAATGTGCACAGAGGCTCTGGGGACAGAAGAGCTGGGGCAGACTCCGAGGAGCTCCGAGGCTGGAGTGGAGGCGGGAGGCAGAAGTAATTTTACTGCGTAGGCTGTGGAGCGTTACTCCCAAGGCATGGGCGCAGTCAGCCTAGTGCACACGGAGACCACTCCGCCAGGGCTCCTGAGGGCTTTCTCCTAGACCCCAAAACAGGAGGTTCCCAGACTTCTGAGGGGCTTTTTAATCTCCATTATTATCTATCTGTACCCTCTTCGCGTTGTGTTCTCTCCTCTGAAGACTACAGAGGCCTAAGACCTGCTTTCCACATCACGCTATAAACAGTTACTTTATCTTTCCAGTCTACCCTTCCTCAAGAAGTCCGTAGGAAAGGAAAATTAATAGATAAGTTAAGGTGGGGAGAGCAGATTGCAAACCTCATCCTATCCATGCCTATGTGCCCTTTACATCTTTTATGCCTTCTGTAAGAGGGGTGGAGAGGGCTCAAGAAAGGGAAACTGAGGACACGACTTGTGCAAGGACACCAAGAGAGATCCCCATCTTCAAATCTGACTCAGCACACAGATTCCCCTGGGTCCCCTGCACTCTGCATGTGCTATGTAGGGAGCAGGCTTCGGCCACCCAGGGGTCAGGCCTGAGGCTCTGGTCCCCTCCTTTCAGGGCATCTTCCAACCCTGATCTGCACCTTTCATATAGTGGCTGCAGGAAACTGGCTGCCGGGAGTGACAGAAGCACCCACAGGCCTGCGCAGGGAGTCAACCCGGGGCAATCACGGGGCTGCGCGTTGCCAAGGGACGCCAGAGCCACAGCGTGGAGGCGCAGGCAGCCATGGGGAGAGGGTCGGTGTCGCTGACCTCGTTCGGGGGCGCGTGGGGCGTCCCCCGGCAGGCTAGTACTTAGGTGAGGAGGCCAAGGTGCCAGGGGCCGCCGGGGGTCGGGCCGGGCGCGCTTTACCTCCTCTGCGCTGCGGCAGCGCGCCCGGGTCCGCCTGCAGGTCCGAGTGCGTGCCCTGCGCAGCGCGCCGCTTCTCCGAGTGCACGATCAGCAGCATGTCGATCGACACGGCGTTGTTATCCTTCTTCAGCTCCATGGTGTCACCTCACTCCCCGCCGGCGCCCCGCGGCCGCTTCCGAGGCTGCCTGCGCTGCAAATGGCCCCGTGCGCGCCGCTGGTCGGCGCGGGAGACGGCGAGGGCAGGGCGCTCCCCCGCCGCCGAGCCGCTGCGCGCCGCGTTTCGCTGACTCTGCCAAACACGCCATTAGGGCCCGCCCGGGAGTGCGCTCCCCTAATGAAGTGGCTCTAAGTCACCTTTGAAAGGAAATCCCCGGCTGAGCCCAGACCTGCACCGAGGCCACTGCAGGCAGAGGCCACCAGCCCCAGAGCCTCCTGCCCCGCGTCCCTGCCTATCGCCCCCTGCGCTGAAAACGCGGGTCCGGGGCTCCAGCACTGCCGGCTCGGCGCGCCTCAACCCCACCGTCTCGGGGATGAGGGGTGGTTCCCCAAGAGGGCCCGAAGCAGACCTCTGAAAGCCACGGCAAATACAGAATCACGCAGAGCTGCCAACAAGTGAGTCAGATCAGGAAAAGGAAAAAAAAAAAAAAAAAAACCAAACAGCAAGCGGGCTCTAGATTAAATTGCCAAGTGTGGAGAAATTGGCCGAGTTTTGGCCTTAGCTACACTCCTTCCCTGGGTGGGTTTTGGAGATTTACAACTTCCAAAGCCTCTGAGGGAGGTAGATGGGGTGTTGGGGTCAGACCCTCTCCCCACATTATGGCCCCACCAGAACTTGGAACATGCCTACTGGGCATCAACTTAACAGTTCTCTCTGGCCTGAAGTGAAAGTCTTAGCATCTCTTTTCCTTCTAGAAGCCTGGCTCCTGCCGGGTGAGGAAGGGGGGAGGGGAACAGGGGGTGGCTGGGGCGTGCGGGGCGCAGGGCGCAGCCTGCCTGCTGTGGTCAGGGAGCTGGACCTGAGAGCCCATCTATTTTTAGCGGGGCCTGGCCTGCCCAGCCAACAGCAGCAGGGCCTTTGGCTCGAGGTCTCAAGAGTGTTTACAGCAGCATCTGCCTGGTAGCCCTTGGCACGGTGGGCCTACCCTGCCTGAGCCAGTCCCCCAATTTGAATTTCCACCATTAATAAATGCTGAGCACATGGAGGCCTTTGCTCTAAAACCCTCCCCACTTAGGAGTGTCATGACCCCACCTTGCAGCATGGTGCCTGAGAGCTCCTTCCTCCCCCTTGGAGGCAGACGGTATTGTATAGGCCTGGGTTCCTGTCTCAGCTCCACAACTTGCTGCCCATGTGACCTTGGACAAGCCAACTCCCTGCCATGTTCTCACACATGTCATGAGCATAATACAAATTCTCACAGGGTATTGTGAGAATGATGCGCACAGGAGGTGCGTGGTGCATAGCAAGCAGTCTCCAAATGATAGCTGTCATTCTTACCTCATTTTCAGGGTGAGGAAAGGGACAGGTAAAGTGACAAGTCAGTGATAGAGCTGGGGGTCACACAGCTGTACTCTCAGGCTCTGAAGATCTTTCCCTGCTGACTGTGGCTCACAGTCTGGCTGCCTGTGAAGGCGGCTTCCTCATTGCATCACCAACGACCCCTTGCCCACTGGGCATCTGATGAAAGGAGAGGTCACTGGCTTCTGAAAGTATTGAACTGCAGTCCTTAGAGAGTTGAGCCGAGGGACCAGTGTAGGTGGGTGACTCTTAAGGCAGGTTTCCTCATGCGGTGAGTCCTATCCGCTCCTGTCCTCTGTGTGTGTGTGTGTGTGTGTGTGTGTGTGTATGTACACACACACACACAACTGAGAGGCTAGCTAAGCCTGACTGCTCTCTAGATGGCTGTGGAAGTAGGAACTATGGACTATTCAAAGCTTCTGGGGTCTTGGAAATTGCTTAGGCAGCTCTCTGGTCCCAGCATATACCCATCTGACCTAGGACAGTGTGGCTTACCTCCTTCCAGGGTGAAAATCTCAACAGAAGCTCCTGTGTAGCACTGTTTCTTACTAGATGGGACTGAGTAGGGGGAAGGCTGAAGCTCCTTTACCTGAAATTCGTGTTTCCATTTCTCCACCCTTACTCTCCTGCTTCAGAGTGTCTCTCTTAGGAGCTTGCTCACCATGGTGCCCCCTCCCAGCGCTGTTCCTGGAGGAGATGATGACCCGGGGGTGTGCCAACCAAAGGATACCTAGAAGCAGATCCTTTAGAGCAGGGCTTTTCATCTGTGGCACTGTGGACAGTTGGGGCCAGAGCCCTCTTTGTTTAGGGAGATGTCCTGTGCATTGTAGGATATTTAGCAACATCCCTGGGATCTATGCACTAGATACCAGTAGCCCCCACTTCCCGGTCGTGTCCAGATGTTGACCTACATTTCTGGGGGACAAAAATACAATGAGAACACTATTTTGGAGGAAACCTATAAAATAGGGGTGGAGTTGCTGCACCGGCTCTAGTAGAGGCTGCTGTTCCTGGATCCCAGTGCTTCCCAGAACCTGGACCCACTCCCCAAGGCTCCCCCCACCCCCGCCAGGCTCTCAGTCCAGCAGCAGGCTTCTTGGGCTGAGCTGCTTCTTGCATGGGCAGAAAGATGAGGTGCTCATCTCCCTCCCTACCTGTCCCCATCCCTGGCCTCTGCTGACCCATCCCTTCATCCGTATGACCTGAGAGGGAAACACCACAGGGAAGGTGATGTGGAAAGGGGAGAGGGAGCAGGAGAGAAGACTGAGGCCATGAGCTGTCATTCAGAGGGTTTATCCTTTCTGCTCAAAACCCCCCTCCAGTTGTTCCCACAACCAGTGGGACAAAGAACAGATCCTCAGCCTGTGATTCTGGTCCAGCCT